AATCCAAAAAATTCTTATGCCGTAAAACCTAAGGCGGAACCTGATAAGGCGGGAAATAATTGCACAACGGGCTTTTTTCCGATGCAAAGTACACTGGATAAGCCGGAAACCCATCTAACGTGGAAACGGTTAGTTCGGCAGCATGGAAATATCTGAATAAGACGGAAAACAAATATTGTTTTGACATTAAACTGTATCTTGTAAGTGTGGATACACCACGAGACACTCGGAGCTGGGTTCTTTAATTCGCTTTCTCAGCTGTCCTCGTCCGAACATCGTATTTCCCATACTACTCGTGCGAAAGCCACTGTTTATTTGTAATATCACTGACCTTCACAAACCCATGTGAAGGAAGGAGCCATTCACAGTCCTCATGAGTGCTTAGAGTTCAGTGGTTCTGGACGTTTAGTTCGACTAGTTTTTGGTGATGTGATAATCAAGTGTTTATAATGTCAGGCTGCAAATTGAAAACGTTGAATTGAATTTGCCTTACTTTACGTGGCGAGACTCGGGCCATCAGGCCCGCTCTTCCGTCTGACCACGCAAATTTCGCTACGCTCCTTTCATCAACTAGCAGAGAAGGGAGGTATTTCTTGGGCGAGAAACAGGCGATTTGAATTTAGCTCAGAGGCGTCATTTAGGCTTGAGGATCTTTTACATGCAAGTAAATCTACTAACTAAACGTTAACTCCTGGTGAGAAAGTTACACTAATTAAAGTACACGAACAAAGCTACACTTTCGTCAAGGTTTTCATAAAGAAATTTAATGTTGGGAAAACTTAAGTGTATGACACCTTAAAAGCAAAGACAAAATCATGAATGAGTGGTTAAATTTTTATGGGTGGTTGCCGCATTAGTCACGAGGACCAAGGAAAATAGCCGAAGCATAAATCATAAGATGAATACATCTGTTCCAACAAATATTGAAGAAAAAATATTTCTTTTATTTTTTATGGAGTTCTTTGTTTCATTAGACTTTGTGTTGCATTTCTGGATGTCATTTTCTTGGTTTCTCCAGGGATGTCTTCCTTTCTTTGAAATGTAGTTTTCAGGTGAGATAAAATACTCATACAACCTTTTCCATCTATGAACGAATCCATTTTCTGATTTGACAGTTTTATTGCAATCCTGAATAAGCCGCAAACCTGTACAAGACAGAAGTGATGGTCCCAAACGATTCCGGCTTAGACAAGTTTTACTGTAATATGTTAGGAATATACATTTTCCATTGATAAGATTGAATATTCTAGTTATTGTAGCTATATCGATGTATATGAAATCATTTTGAAATCAAAGAGTGTCCATCAAGCTCTTTCTCAGGCGTCTTTCTTTCATTTTCTGATATCCCCTTTGTAGCAGCCATTTCTTTGTCTTAAATTAACATAAAGACATAATTTTACCAGTAACGATAAACGATACCAGTCACCAGTACCACCGTTACCAGACTCATATTTCCCTCTCTTATTTCAAACGATATTGGAGAGTGGTCGAGCCAATCAATGACGAACAAGCGAAGATTTACATTTTAACACTCTCTGATTAGTCTGTTTTTGGCTCAGCGCATGTGGTGTCCGTACGCTCGATTTTTGAATCTTTCCCAATGAATTCAAATTTCACACGATAGTTGAGAGATCACAATTCATTAATTCTTATTTGTCAATTTTTTCGAATACACTGATGTGGATCATTGTGTAAGGTTTTTAAATGGTCTTCATCAAAGCCCGCAGGGCTTCTTGTACGTGGAGACGCACGCGTGTCAAAACTACCATCTTTGAAACGAACAAACCGTTTCCCCGCGTCTTTCAGATGACGTGATCGCCCCAACAGTGCGAAGATTCCTAGCTGCATCCGCAGCCTTTGCCCTCTGTTGAACTGAAAGAGAGAAATTTGTTGACAATGGTATATTTATCCACTCGACACTCAATTTTCTATTGTCCTTAGAAACACTCACCCTCTATAACAATGCACAATTCAGAACACTAACTTACTCACAATAATAAACTTAAAGAAAAAGAAATCAAATCAAACGTTTATCCCACAGTAACAGAAGCGCCACAAAAAGATTGCGGACATATGCACAAATCCAATACTTCATATTTATGATTTAACCCGGATTATTAGGCACATTACCTTTCTACGTACTAGACAAAAAATATGCCTCTACCCAACCTCTTCTATCCTCATACTACAACAAGAGGTACGGCCATCCTTTATAGTTCTGGCCAGCTAATGTGACAACTTTTGAAAAATATCACTGTCGAATGAGAACATAATAAAATCTAAAATAAATTTACTGTTGCAGTCATTTTGCTAAAAGGACTGACCAAAGAAAAAAGTTCATGCCCTTGGTTGTTAAAAGTGAAAATCCATCAAATTTCAATTATTTGATTTCTACAGAATCAAATGGTAAATACAGCAAAATCTGTCCTCGGTCATGTTTATGTATACATGTGTGTCAATATTTCTCTGTTTTCATGGTAATTTCCTGAAAAAAATTGCTTTCAAAATTTTACAGGTTTGACCAAAACTTTAATCCTCTTTCTATTCAATATGAGGTCACATATCTAGAGGCAGAACAGAGAGGTGATAAAAAACATTTAGACTAAACTCTATACATTTTTATTTAATGAAAATCACAAAAAACAAAAATTAATAACAAGTGTGTCAAAAGACAGCTTCACTTCTGATATGTTACCACTTCTAACTTTAAAGAGATTACATTTCAACGTTTATCAGAAAATTTACTATTTCCATTTAACAACCTTGTTAGTTTCAAATAATAGTACATCAAAATTATAATTTCAAATAATAGTTTCTGATATAAAAATATAAATGATTTTATCAAACATACATTATAGCCATTAAAATAAACAAAATATTGAAATGAATTTAAACCTTTACAAGTTTCGACCAAAATTCTGAAAACCTATAAGGTAAGGATGCCATGTTTTTGGTGATGCCTTGGAAGTCTAGAACTTTTACAAAAGTAGCTTATACACAATTCTGCATAAACAATTTCCAGCATTTGAGTGTGTTACAACCAATGGGAATCCAAAATAGAAGCTATGTATAAACAGATTTTCATAATTTTTATGTTAAAGAAAAATACCTCTTTTGGTTCAATCAATTTCAACAGAGCCAAGATGGGTAAGTACAGACTCCTTGGCTTGGTCCAAAGGGTCAAGGATAAAAATCCGAGTCTGGGCATGAATGTTTCTTCATTATCTCTTTTACCAAGGGTCTCACATTCTGGTATTAGGAGCAATCCCAGATCTGAAGGGCCTGCATATTAGTGTCTAATAGTCCCAGATGCACCCCATTGGGGTGTAGAAGATAACTGACTTGGCTGGAAAAATCTCTACCAAAAAAACAGTTCACATTAAACCTATATTCAGGATATTTATTACTTCAAGGGGTCAAACTGAAATAATAACTGTTGAAAAAACGACTAAATTGAAAACAAACCCGTTATTTTTTCATTCATTAAATATAATATTCAATAAATATATGCTGGAACCAAAACTGAATGAAAGGTTACTGCTTTTAAATGAACTTCAGCATTTTATATAACTTGTTATGCCACATATCAAAATGTGGCTCTTATGATAAAAAATTCCTACAGAAATTGAAACAAATCTTAGTCATGAACTTTGGTAATAATTAGTTAATATGCAGTGAATATGTGAGAAACTAAGAAAGAAAGAAACAAACATGTTTTTTTAAAAAACATTTGTAACTGATTCAAAATCAAAACTATTTTGTTATTAAAAGCTGAATCCTAAATATTGTATGATTGAAATCTGAATGTTATTCAAATAGTTTTATTCCTTGATTACTTGAAGTATAGATAAAGTATATTGAACATTTCAAAAAATTCAGAGGATCACTGATTTCAATAGGATTCTGGATGAGAAATAATTCTCATCAAGTTTTTCTCCCCCTTTTCATGTTACACAGTCAGATTTTGGTTTGTTTGTTTATCTCATTAATAACTTTGGAAACCTGGTCTCAATATCTAATGTTAATATTGTAAATGTTCTCAATGCCTAGCATTATTATTCTTTGGATAAGTGAACTTAATAAATGAAAAGGTGAACAAAATCGAGATATTCTAGAAATTTGAATCATTGATTAATGCTGAATATTTAAATAACCTTGAATTATTTTCAAATAGGGTCCATCCATAAATTATGTAAAGCCCCCTTCTAAATAACCACATAATGCATGAACCCCCCTCTCCCATAAATGCAAGAAGTGAAAATAAATTATCGCACAGTAAAAACAATTTGCATTTATTTTACTTGTGTTGTACATTAAAATTAATTATAATTAAAGTAGAAATTAGTTGGTGAAACCGACTGCATCTTACTATGAGATTGGCACAAGTTGTGAGTGAAGGAAGGATGCATATGCGAGAAGATGTTTGATCACAAGTTGTAGATGCACTGTCATGGATGACACATGAGTGAAAGTCTACTGTGCCAATTTAAATGGATTTTAGAATATTGTAAACATAAGTTTTGAATATTTTCATAGTTATCTTACAGAGTCAATAAAAAATTGTTGAACAAATATTTCTAATTATTGTAACAATTAACATCTAATCCATTTAAGTAATTTATATTTTTAAAACAAATTAATTAGTTAATATTTTAATGTTTTAGAATGAGTCTCAAGAAAAGGAATTATTTCAGCACATGCTGAAAATTTAAAAATCAATGTCATGTAACACTTAACTTCCTTTCCCAATGTAAAGCAGCTTTATGTTTCCTCAAACCCCCTTCCACCCTCTTTAGCATTATGTAATTTATGGATGACCCCATAGGCACATATGACCATCTCTTTTAATACAAATAAAAGCATTTAAAAATACAAACATAAAAAATTCTGTAAAGCAAATAATATAATTAATTATAATAAATATTAACTTATTTCTGAAATTCACAGATATAAATAACTGGCAACACAGGCAGTCAATAAATGGCGACACTTTGTGAGGGCAGATGTCAACAAAAATGACCAGACATTTTGGAATGTTTACAGGGTAACAATATTTTCTTTGTTTCCTAAAAAGCAAAGATCAATATCTTTTACAGGTATTGTGAGATGATTTATCAATCAAATAATTGTAAATATTTAATAAATATCTTAAGTACCCCTAATTTCACAAGTAGTATTATATTTTTTTATAATATATAACATTTAAGGTAGCAACAACTGTGGAATAGGAACTCAGCTTTGTTGATTCATACAAAGTTGTGATTTCTTCCATGTTAATTCACTCATGTTCAATTTTCATGACATTATTTACTTGTATTGTTAACTCTACAATTATACACCTATCATCCTCAACAAATTACTTTCATATTCTTCTTTCGAGAAAATGGAGGTATGAACAAGGCTCCTCTCTTTAGAAGATTTTGAGCTTATAACTCTTCACACTCTTGTAAATTTCATTCCCATAAATATTCTTTAAATTGTTACAATTATTGAACAAAATAACATGAATGAACACAGAGATGAGTCATTGGTTATAATTTATTTGAACCCTTCTTCAATCTTCTGGGGCAATTAGTCCATTGACATCAGGTTGTAAAAATTCATCAATTATGGCCTGTACCATTTCTTTTAGAACACTTCGTAGTACATCCAGATTCCTGAAATAAAGGGACAAAATTTTACAATTTCCACTGAAAAAAATTTGAAACAATCACACAATTCAACAGAATGTATGCTTAAATTGTGAGCACATATGGCACCTGAATTTAAAATGGAAATTATACCTGAATTCTCAAATTATATTCAATTACCAATTCAATTGATATAAATTCAAACTTCATGTATCAAACAAAATCTATATACCAATGGAAAAGTAAAAAATGTCCTTGTATAACATTAATACAGCAATCAATTCAGATCAATAAATCCTAATCATTTATAGCAAAAATTTATCAGAAATAATTAAAAATTATAAGTGAAATGGAAAATTGAACATTTGATTGTAGGGCAAAAGAACTTCAAGAGGAGTCACCAAAGCTAACTTGTATGCTTCAATAAATAAATAACAATATCAATAAAATATTATAAATATACTTAAATATTATTAAGGCCCTGTATCAGTTTTCAATACAAGCATCAAAATTGAATATGGAAGATGCAATGATGATGCTGAGACAGTAAAGAGGCATTAACAATGATGATGATTATGATGATTTTTAAGGGTGCTTCAACATCTGAGGTCATGGGTACCTGTGTCAAATTATCTTAAGATCAAATATTCATTGCGGTATGGTCAGATAAAATCTTCTTAAAATACAAAGTAAAACATGTACAGAAAACCAACAATGTATGATCCTGTCTAGTGGTAAAATGAAAGAATTGTCAGAGAAAGAGATAGGTGAACACTATTAAAATGTGATAAATAAAAGGTGCATTAATTAGCATACACCACCTCTCAGATTAAATTATTAATTTCACTTTCCTGTAGGAAGCTAAAATACTGACAGAGAAAGTATTAGACACCAAGTATATATTTCAGAGAAGTGGCAAGGCAATGCTTCATCTCAAGTTTGCAATCATCTTATCTATAAGAGCATTCTCCGATAAAATCTGTTCTGCACCTATCATAGATGGGGATTGAGTCACCACAGAGATGTTCTTGTAACAAGTCAGTGGTAGATTTAAAGGCGCATAAGAATTATCATCGTGCACTTGGTATTATGTATGAGATGTAAAAGCTCAAAGCTTTGTGACTACTTGAATTTAAAACATGAGTTCTGCCACTTTGCATGCTATGCACTGAGAATGGTACACTGTATGACAAGCTTTGTGCCATGAGTAGGCAGCTATGGATGTCTTAACTTGGCTGCCTAGGACCCCCTCAAGACAAAATGAAGGGGAGGAAGGTCACAGAATGGCGGCCGTAATGTTCGCACCTGTACCTAGGATGTGGCATTTCCTGGACAGCTAAGTAAATACTGACTTGAGCCACAGAAGCCCTACGCTCTCACCTAAGAATGTCCTTACCTTGTTTGCTCATGGCCAACTTTGCAGCCTGGTCAGCTATCTCATTTCCCAGTTGGGCTCAAGGGCCCAACAAAACAACAATTGAAAATGAAGTATTAGACAACGTAATAGGAGATGGATATTAATTGCAGAGGGTTCCAAGAAGAGAACAAGATGGATTCTAGAGCACTTCTGAAATCACTGCAAATTACAACTTCACAAAATGACACTTATGGAACATTGGTGCCTCCAATAGCGTGTATTTCCCTGCTCAAAGAATATATTTTCTGAAGCAGCAGGGTGGTACTGTGGCATTAAAAAGCATGTGTATACCTCCTCATTTTGTGAGGAATCATCCATGAAGATAAAGGTGTGGTCGAGATAAGTGAATTTTATTTCCTGAAAGTGCATCGGAAATATACTGGGGGAAGTTGGAAACTCTGAGTTCTTTTAGGAGTCAGAGAATTTTCCAAGAAAAAATAGGAATTTCAAGGAAATTCCAAAGGGATGGGCAGGTTAAAGTTAAGCTAATGCAAAAGAATAAAAACATATTCCGGGATGATACTTGCAGTGTATATGATGTTCAATGACTTGGGTTAAGGATTGCTTGGCAGAAGAGAGTATTTAGACAACAGATTAAAAATCTCATCTTTGGCTCTCCAACCACAGCCAAGAGGGCAAGAGACATTTGTGGTCTACACTCCTTGAGCTATCACTAAGGATATAAAGGAAGTTCCAAGGGGACACACATTGCCTTTTCAGATTAAGTAAGTGATCATCCCATTTTAGGTTTGTCAAATATCAAGCCAAGGAAAATTGCTGCTGCGAGAAAACAAAATTGATAGTGCACAAGGAAAATAGAATAAAAAAGGGTGGCAATAAAATTGATGAATCCTGCAGAAACACATATAGTTAGATTTTGAGGAAGAGAATTTGAATACAATATCACTCCATCCATGGAATTTATTACGGACAAGTTGCAATTAAATTGCTAATCAATTCAATAGCCTAATCCACATTTTTAAAAAGCAAAGAAAAACAAGTTAGTTATGTAGTTGAGGAATTACAATACTAAAGGGAAAAAACAGAGATTTCATTCCTAACTTCTGGGAAAAAACTGGACTACCTACAATGCACAAATATATTTTACTTTTTTAGACAACAAATGGTGTCAAATAGCTCATTTTTTGGTTTTCGGTGATGGACCACTGATATTCTCAGTCCTTCATTTGTCTTTGAATAACTAATATGTTCTTGGAAGAGCAAACTGTTAACAAAGAGCAATGTTTTTACGGGGTCTCAATGACTAACAGAATAATATTGATAGTAAAGGCAAACAGTGACAGGTTAGAATTGGTCCAAGGGGGAGTGTTTTCCAAGTAGTGACTGGAATTTAGCTTTTCACCAAGGTGGATGTGGAAAGACCTTGATACCAGAAACAATGAGAGTCATCCCTTGAGTCCACAAGAATGTGAAGTCTGAAGAATGCAGTACCTTCAGATGGCAATGTAAACTTTCCAGATATCAAACAAGATGGCTACGAGGTGTTGTAAGACAAAGTCAAGATCAGGGTAGCTAGGGTGACAAGATGGTTCAAAGTCGACTGGTGTCTCTAGAAATTACATTGGATGTGTGTTAACAAATTTCTTTGCTCCAGGACAGAGAAACATTTACTATTCCTTCTAAAAGCTTACACATGCAGCTAGAAAGCGATTTTGGACGGTAAGTTGATGGGATTGTTCAAACATTTCATTCCTTATAGATTAGGATGACAGTGGCTTTATGTCAAAGTCTGTGAATGGAATGCTCAATTTACATTTCACTGAAGAAATAAGGGGAAAATACGTGCTTTTTAGAGAGATTTTTCAGCATGTGGTTGTCAATCTGATCAGTTCCTGGAATAGAATCTGTGAGAGCTAAGGCAGAGGAGAAATTGTCAATGGATAAAAGGGCATTTTAATCTGCTTCCAGGCTGCATTCCCACAGAGAGTACAGTTTCTCAATCATGTTTTCTGGAGAGGTAAGGAGATTTCCATTTACCAGCAAGTCTGGCACAGACAGTGGGGGATAATCTCCATCTGATTTGAACCACTTTTCATCATACATGTTTAGGGTGTTATTGCAAGAAAGTGAAGAAAGATGCGCTCTTCAGAAGGTTGCTTTACTCTCTCGTACGGCCATTGTAACTCTGGTTTGATTTCTTTTACAATCAATCAAATTTTCTGGTGTAGGATAACCTATTGAGCTGCGGTAGCGCAGTGGAAGTGGAAGACGCGTTGAAAACCGAATTGGTAAAATGGACAAGGACATAGACTTCGTCGGGGCGATTATCGGACACGCTGATTTATTTTTAGAATGTATTCTAATCAAATACTGAGGTTGAAACAGTCACTGAAGTAAACGGCCAATGTTCAGTTTAGGGATATCGAATTGTGCTAGGGGCAGGCGGGAGACAACTTTTAAGTTCTTGTTAGCGAAATAGTAGGTTTACCGATACGCATACGATTTAAAGATCGGTCCGAATGGCGTGTTCACGACGGAACCTATTTATACAACCCGGCCCGGCACGTCGTAGCTCGGTGCCACTCCGCTTGGCTTGTGAGTCGTCCTTCAGAACGGATCAGGGCGCCACTTCTAAAAGCGATGAAATGACGATATAATTGATTCTTCCGAAGATAAATTGATATTAATTGCGGAGAAAGAAGAGTGGGAGCAAAGAGGACAGTGTTATTACTGGAAACGCATGTATTATGTAAGCAAAATAGTAGCCCGAAACCGCGACGAAATTTTCCCAATTCAACACAATCCATTTGATTTAGCTCAACTTTAGGACTTACATTTTAAAAGAAAAAAATGAAGGGCCAAGGTTCTATCTCCAGCACAAAAAATTACATCACGAAAGGCGTAGAATTCTTCCAAAGTTACGTTTACTCGTTTTATTCTTGGCAGCAGCTACGCGTGCAAACTTCACGGTTTGTGCATCGCACCATTTCCTCTCTCATGTCTTTAGAAATCAGCAAATTGAAAGATTAGATGGTACCACATCATCAAGCTATTTAAAATTAAAAATACCACTTCGGCATCAGAGGGTTAAGAAACTACAAACCATGAATTATGATTACACGTGATAGAGAAAGTAATACTATACGATTTTTTCTGATAAAAATCGCCCCTCTCCGCAGCAGCATTACAATACTTTCTCTTCACAATGTAAGTACGTAGTAGACAAAGTGAAAGTACAACGTAAGAGGTCGTATTCCACGGGGACCGCCGTCCTAGAATACATGCGTCGAAGACGGGGGAAGTTCGCCTCGCAGAAAGAAACCTTGTGAAAAGTGGCAATGACCGCTCCGAAGACAAGTTAAAATTACTTTCCCACGCTTTGCATCACGGAATGAACACAAGAGATTTATAGAATCCTTAATTTAAAAGTGGTATTTGCTGTGTACCCAGATACCTTTGGAGTTGGCGCACGCGCGCACGAGTCGGCACGCGCTCTATTTTAAAGAGCGCAAGGCAGCAAGACGCTAACCACTTCAACAAGCAGCGAGCTACGGGGACGAGTCTTGGACAGCCCGGGCAGCCAGAAGTGATCGAGTCCTAGCTACGACGTCGTGTGGATTTAAGTGACAGTTTCGCTGACCGCGCCGAA